TATAGATTATAGATTATAGATTACTTTATTTGTATGCCGCCCTTTTCCCTAAGGGGACTCAGGGTGGCTTACATTTCATAGGAGGGGAGTGTAAGACAGGACACAAAAGAAATGTGAATAAAGAAAAAAAATAACCAATAAAACACAACATTCATTCAACATTCGGGCGGGGCGAGATTAAGGTCTTATCCCCAGGCCTGACGGGATAGCCAGATCTTGAGGGCTGTGCGGAAGGTCTGGACGGTGGTGAGGGTGCGAATCTCCACGGGGAGATCGTTCCAAAGCGTTTTTCCTTGAAGATGTGTCTCTTCTCATCCAAGAAGTTTCTTCAGTTCTTAATTTATTTATGTTTTAATGTAGATACATTTTATGACTATAAACCACATAGAGTACCTGAAACAAAATTACCTTTAATGCATATTATAAGTAACTTGGAAGTAGTAATATGCACTGGAGACAAATTTCGTGTATGTTCAATCACACTTGGCAATAAAGCTGTTCTATTCTGCTCTGCGCTGCTCACTTTTACATTCACAAGCAAATGGATTGAAATATTTTTGTAGAGAAATATGTTATCAGTCTAAATTAACATGGGACTATAATTCTTGTTAAACAGAATGCACTTTTAAGAACTTTTTTCTTTATGAATCAGGACTTCTTGGCCCTGCAAAAAGAGATGCATGGCTACAGTTAAGAGCAGAGATTGAAGCTCTCACTGACTCCTGGCTGACCAATGCACTTAAATCATTATCAATTATTAGTACAAGGTGAGTACAAACTCATTTTTTTAAAAAAAAAATATTATATTACACAATTACACTGCAGGAAAACAATATCAAAGGCAAGAGCAGATAACAAGATACTTATAGGCATTCATTTTCCTGCAGATATGTTCTTCATGCATTTTTTGGCATTTTTTATTTTTGTTTTAATCAAAAATAAATGGATGGTAAAATGCTAGCAGCTAGTATTAGCTTTATTAACAGGAATGCATCCAGGACCCTTAGACATTCTTAGAAAATAAAAATAGAATATTTTTAATATTTTAATAGAATAGTAGAAGCATGGCTGCTCCTTGAAAATTGATTAGAGTGGTTAGAGGAAGTGATGAGTGTTTACTGACTCACTACACTCAACATCAAAGGCATTTGGTAAGACTAATATTCCAAAGGCATCTCCTGGCCAACAGAATACAGTGGGACCTCAGGTTGCGAGTGGTTCTGACCACGACCAAATCGGGTGCTGACCAAAAAATCTGCTAAAAGTTTCACTCTGTTCACAAACACATCCTCGGGTGGCGATCAAACACAGCCACCGTGGCAGGGAAAATCTCTTTCAGTGCCTTTTTTTGTGTGTGTCCGGGCATGTGCAGTCACTCTTGCTTCCAGTCACAACCAAATCAGGTGCCATCCGAAGTCCTGGAACAGATTACGGTCGTGACCTGAGGTCCCACTGTATCCACCTATCCCTCATATAATGCAAAGTGATATTGTAAATAGGAGATTAGGCATTGAGGTAGTCTCCAACCTATATAAGAGATAGGTGGGTATTTGTTCAATGGCACTGAACAAATGGTGGTGACAACTATTTCTCAGAGTTCCAACCATCTCAGCACCCGACCAAATATGTGATTATGACCAGAAGCTTGGCAAGGTAATAATATTTCTAACTGGTTGCAGTGCCTGATGATCACATGATTAATATTTGCAACCTTCCCTATTGCTTCCCTATGAAGTCATTTGGGAAGACAGCAAGAAAGGTCACACATCTTTGGGATACGTTTCCCCTACCTGCCTGCTTTCTCCCAATCCCTCTGCACTTGTGCCATGCCTCTCACAGACTTCCTCATGCACTTTCCATGACTTGCATGGAATGACCTACAGCATTGGGGCCCCCTCCCGACTGCATCACTTAGCAATGGAAATTCTGGTCTCAGAATTTTGCTGCAGTAAGTCAAGGACTACTGTACAGGAAACTGCTCTACAAAAAGCCAGGCTATTCGCCCATCCAGCTATCATATTCTATAAATTGTATAGCCTGTAAAATTATGTTGATTTCTTTGTAAGTTCAAAAAGTGATAAATAAAAATGTTATCTGAGACAAAAAGGCTATTTTTCCATTCATAAAGTAATTCATATTCTGTGAATTTAGAAACTCAGTTAAAGGTGTATGATGATCTATGGATCATCATAACCATGAAATTTTCAACGTACAGAATATTGCAATATTTATTATTATTGCAGTACTAATTGAAGTAGTAATTGATGGCTGATCTGTAGGTAATTTGTTTTATCATTATGCAGATATATACTCTGTCTTTCTTTATAGGAGTAACTGTGTAAATGTCTTGGTAACAACAACTCAACTTGTACCGGCTCTAGCAAAAGTGCTTCTGTATAGTTTAGGAGGTGTTTTTCCTATTGAAAATATTTACAGTGCAACTAAAATAGGTATGTATCTCAATTCTTTTCAATTTACATAATTTACTGATAGTTTCCAAACATCTTCTAATCTACTAATGTAATTTCAGCTCAGTTAACAAATGTCTTCACTTGTAAGAATTGTATGTAAAAACTATATATAAAGAGGTAGACAAGTAGAGTGAGATTCCTAGTTACCCCTCCCCCCCCCCCCCCCCCCTCTCTCTCTCTCACACACACACACACACACACACACACACACACACTTTTGGATGTACCAACCTCACTATTATCATTTGTTATGTTATTCAAGCATTTGAAAGAGGTACTTTACAAACATGTATTCTCATTAAAATAGGCTCTCTTTTTTGCAAGGCACAACTGTTTCTGAAGCAAAGTGACAGCATGCTTGAATGGCTTTCAAAGCAACTGTATACAGCTGCTTTGATGATTTGAAGAGATTTGTTTTGTTCATACACCTGCATATTGTGGTACACCTTTTTAAAAATGCTTTGCATGCTTCATTGACTCACAACATCCTTATTCAGGAAAATTGACCTCCTCCCAGGATGGAAAATGTATTGAACTTCAAAATGTTGAACTTTGAAAATAAAAAGGGCTACTCTAAGAAAACAAGTGCAGCTTTTGAGATACCAAGATTGCAAGAGAACAGACAACATGATTGTTTATGTCCAGAGGAAGAAACAAATTACATGCTTTATTAGGGTCCTAGCAGGATACCTTGCATGTTGTCTTAATATACCAAATATTAGCTTTCCTAAGTTTCCATTGAATTGTGGCAGAAAATAAATTTAAAAGTCACCGATCTTATTCGTAAGGCTTGTCTGTGATCATTTGTTTTGTATATGTGTCCCTTAGACTTTTTAGAGATCACTGTGATATTTCTTTTTTGAGGGCTCAAATAAATAGTGCATTATTTTTCAGGAAAAGAAAGCTGTTTTGAGCGTATAGTGTCCAGGTTTGGCACTAACATAACTTATGTTGTGATTGGAGATGGCCGAGATGAAGAGCATGCAGCTAACCAGGTAACTTCTCTCTGAACACTTATCTCATTTATCTTCCAGGAAAAGAAAGTTGCTTTGAACGAATAATGCAAAGGTTTGGCAGAAAAGTAGTATATGTTGTAATTGGGGATGGTGTAGAAGAAGAACAGGCAGCCAAAAAGGTAATTTGTTTCATGAAATGTTGGTGTGTTCTATAGATATTTACGCAAGCTTATTTTGTTTGCATTTTTGTTAGTATGGCACATTTGTCAAATTATTTCATATGCCACGATCATAAGAAGTAAGATATAATCAAATCATTTGGATTCAAGCACAGGCTTTATGAGGATGGGCAAGATATGGAAATTGAATAAAATATATGCTGATTATACCGTAGATCTTTTTTAAAAAAATAATAACTCTAAGCAAATTAAACATATTGCGTGGATTTGCAAGGCTCAGAAAAGTGTATTTTGTGTCATATAATCGAAAAAGCACATTGATCTTCTTACAAATCTGAAGGGAATAATATGCAAAAAGCTACTAATTTCAGAGTGTAAGCTATAAATATATTTTAAGAAATTGATTATAATTTGAATTGATTTCATTCTCGAGACAGACACAGCTGTATCTATTCCTCATTTACCTTTAGAGAGCTGTGATTATTCCTGGGGGCTGGGGGGGGGGCAAAATTGAGAAAAAAACAGGCCTTTTTTACTCATTTCTGCCCTCCCCAGCCCCCAGAAGCTCTCTGAAAGCCTTCTACAGGCTCTGCACAGCCATTTTGGTGAAGAGGAAGGAGCTTCTGGAGGCAAAAAATGCTGTATTCATTGTATAAGGCGCACCCAGATTTTCAGCCTCTTTTTTTTGAGGGAAAAAGGAGCATCTTATACTCCAAAAATACAGTATTTTATTATTAAAGTAATTTATGATCATATAAGTGCCTAATATATGAACATTGTCCTTAAAGAAATCTAGCAGGAAATCTGCTGTACTTCAACACATTTCATACTTCAGAATAAATATAAGCAAAGTGGAGAAAACATATAGATTCAGATATACTGCATCTAGAGCAAGGGTGCCCAGCCTTTTGGCTTGCCTGAGCCATACAGAATGAAGAGGATGTGTCTTGGATCCCATATAAAATATATAATATAGTTAATGTACATCAATCTCATAATAATGTTAAAAGTAGGCAATCTTATGGTTCCAAATGGTTGCCTTATAGATGCAATACAGTGTTAAGAATATCTGGTAGCCTATTCAGGAAACTGGGTGATTGATTATCTTAGAGTTGGCATGCTTCCTTCTAACTTTACCTGTTGTGTGCATGAACATTTGTAGATTTTTTTTAAAAAGAAGGCAATTTTTTCAAATAGATCTGCAGTCAGTAAAAATAAAGTTATTAAGCTTTATTAACAGACATACTCATGAACTTTTGCAGTGTTTTTAATTGCAGAAAGGGTATATTCCTCATAAGAGATTGCTTTCCTAAATTCACTGGCTGATACTTGGTAATCATTGTAGAAGTTCTGAATATTGAATAATATAACTTAAGTGACTATGTTGCTTTCAAGGAAAGTTTCATACATGACAGCAATTTAATTCCATATATAACAAATACAGGGGTTGGGGGTTGTATCGCCTATATAGACAGAAGTATAGGTTCAATTTGGGGGTATATTCTGATAATCATTGCTCAGAGAGAAATGAGCTGTATTGTAAAAGTTAAGCTGAAAGCAAGCATTAGAATTAAATGTGTGGTACGTTCATTTGCCTACTTATTCTCAAGTATTGTACTTTCTGAAGAAATCAGAGGGCATGATAGTTGTAAATTAAAACTAAGCACAGTGATCCAGTAAAAGTCGTTAATATTTTATATTAATGGATTCCCCCTGTAGTATACAAAATATATTTTGTAATGAAGATTATTACATACTTGATTGCTACTAAATTTACTTCTTTGAAATATAAACAATATTATTCTTAACATAGGCTTGGTAAATAAAGTTGGAGTAACATGTTGGTGTAGTAGTTAAGGCATCAAGCTAGAAAGTGGGAGACTTTGAATTCTAATCCCCCATCTTAAGCACAAAGCCCAGCTGTGTGACCTTGGGCCAGTCATTTTCTCTCAGCCTCTCAGAAACTACAAGTTTCTCGCAAAAACTACAAGGACTGATCTAGACAATCTCAGAAACAGATACAATTGAATAAAAAAACAAAGTTGAATTTATTAAGGTACTTATGAACCTTTTTGTATATTTTTTCAGATCTATTTGGACATTTGCTTTGTTTTATGTTTTTGTCTGTGTCCTACTAAGGATAATCATAATATATAAAAGAAAATATGTGATGGGCATGATAGATATATTGTTTATTCTTCTTGCTTTCTCTCTCTCCCACCTAACTAATGCAGCATAACATGCCTTTCTGGAGAATATCTAGCCACTCCGACCTCCTGGCTCTACACCAAGCGTTGGAATTAGAGTATTTGTAACTGTTCTTTTTTTATACATATTTCAAAGTACATTGATTTTTTTTTTTTACTTTGGATATGGTGACTCTGGCTTTCCACATATTATCGTCTTAAAAAGAAAGCAATACATGGATTCCATTGCAAAGAATTCAGATCACTGAATGGAGACACACGTTTTAATACGACATAAGGATTCTCTACATGGTCTTATATATTCAACATTTTGATGATTAAAAAACTAGAAAAATGGTTGCTGGTACACACCAAATGAGTCCTAGCCAGAGTGAACAAGGTTTGCAATAGACAAGAAGAAGAATGAATGCATTTTGTGAATGACAAGGGTGGTATTCAACAACATTCCTCACAATGGGATATATTCTCAGCACGGAGGTTTGAATCGAACTTTAGGCTACCTACCTGACCCAGAGAATTGGGATGCACTTGGACTATACAATGGCAGTCCTATCTCAGTCCGTAATAGGTGTAAATTATTAATGAAAATAATTTACTGTGACATTAGCAACTGACTTTGGAAGTGGATGCAATTTATTATATTGTTTTGTTTTGTTTTTGGAGGTGTGTGGGAAGGGGGTAAATAATAATAATTGTCTCTTTTATAAACTTGGCAGACAGAATGTGCATAATCATGTGTTGTGCCTTAAATGACAAGATCTTGTTTGTGTGTTACAGTGTAACATTGGTTTAAAATTATGTAGATAAAAGGATAAATCTTTGTGATAATTTTTGACATGACCAAATTTCAAATTCAACTAATCAGTACTGCATAAAAGCAGTTTAAGTGTTTGTTGCAGTAAGAGAAAAAATATATATAACTGAAAGTTAGCGTTTTTATTTAAATTCTTAATAATTCCACTGATTGTATGGAAATATTTTTTTAAAAAAATGTCAAAAGGTTGGAATATTCGGTATTTTGAAAAAATAGTTAACATGACAAATTATTTGACAATTTTTCCTTAATTTTTGCGTTTAAAAAAAATTATACACATGAATAACTTGTGCTGCAATGAGTTTAATTTATAGTATATGTGTAAAAAAAAACCTAGCAGGCTACTTTTACCTATTGACCTGATATCAAATTACAATGTAGTATATTTAACATTCAATATGGTAGATATAAGCATGGCTGAATGTGGTCCAATGAAAGTTTAAGTAAAAGAAAACAGCTAAATCAAAAAACAAAAGGATTTGCTTGATATTTGTGCAACAAAAAATACAGTATACCAGGGGTGTGAAACTCAGTTTCATTGAGGGGCGCATCAGGACTCTGGTTGACCTTGGGGGGCTGGGTGGGGCCAACTGGGTGTGCATGGTCACGATGCCACTCCCTAAACTGCTGGCATGTTTCCTCTTCGCATTGAGTAGACTGGACCAAAGCTATGCTGGTCTGATCTCTCCTCTTTGCATTGGATAGACCAGAACAGCCCCATGAGTCGTATCCGACTACATTGTGAGCTGGATCCAACCCGCAGGCCTTGAGTTTGACACCCCTGCAGTAGACAAACAAAAAGATTACTAGATGAACAATAATATTTTTCTAACATTGTCAAGTAAAGACAAATGTAATCCATAAATTGCCCATTATATGGTCCAGTCAAAAAAGATCCTTTCAGTTAATGAGTTTCTACCAGGACTTAAGTCCATCATAACTGATTTTGTAGCTGTAGGTCAGCATGAATCTCAGTGGAATGCTCTGTTCCTCTCTGGTTAGTTTTTCGTATGCATATTAACTATGCTTACATTTATTTGCAGCAATTGTTTTTCTAACATTGCACTATATTATGGGTTCTCGAATAAATTGGTTTAATTCATACAATATATGAAGTCAAAATCAAACAATTATTTGAATGTGTAGATTCAGCCTTGCATATTATTTTGATCTTGTGTTTGCATAATAATAGAGTACAAGTCATTTGTTACAAAAGAGGTGGGCAGCATGTGCTATCCTGTCTGTGGCAACACCCCACCCACTTTAGAATCTCCCCTCCCCAAGAATTTAAATAAGCTGTGATTTTGATGTGGACAACAAGAGTACTTTTGTTCCTTCTAACTTTTAAGGACTTCTAACATGAGATGGATGGGTGCTGTAATTCCACTCTGTTTATTTTAATGCTCTATTTCACAGGTAGTCCTTGATTTATAACAATTCATTTGGTGACCATTGAAAGTTACAGTGACACTGAAAAAAGTGACTTATGACTGTTTTTCACACTTAATGACTGTTGCAGCATTCCCATGATCACATGATCAAAACTCAGATGCTTGACAAATGACTCATTTATGACAGTTGCAGTATCCTGGGATCGTGAGCCCCTTTTGCAACCTTTTGATAAGAAAAGTCAGTGAGGAAGCCAGATTCACTTAATGACCATGTTACTACCTTAACTGCAGTGATTCACTTAACAACTGTGGCAAGAAAGGTCATAAAATGTGGCAATACTCACTTAACAAATGTATCAGCAACAGAAATTGTGGGCTCTTGTGGGTCATAAGTCGAGGACTACCTGTACTGCTTTTATTTTTAAAGTCCATTTTGTAATATTTTCCTCTTAACTGCCTTGTACACCTTTCTTAGGGCCAGATTCTTTCCTGTCTAGTTGCCACAGGTTGTTCATTTCAGTTCAATGATTCTGTGATTTTTCTAGTGATGTATAATTTAAGCCTTGTAAGGTAAGCCTTGTGGGAGGGGAGGAAAGGAATGAGACTGGATAGTTTTTAAGAACAGGGTAGCAGCCTCTTGATGTAATTAATGGCTGTTGCAGTTATGCTTTGCACATGTGGCTGAAGGGCAGTTACCAGTTGACACAAAGAATGAGCTTCCCAATTAATGAGCTGTGGTAGCAAATCAAGGTAAAAAAACACGACCACAAGAGTTTAAAAAATCTGAAACACCTTGAGTATAGATAAGAAAATGAAGGAAGGTAAAACTGAGAATTGGCCCTTTGTTACCACATTTTTCTGTAACCATTTGTGTGATGGGACAGTGGCTCTCTATAGTATACAGATAGTTCTTATTTACCAATTACAACTGGTAGCAGCTCTGACTCTAAGCAGTTTGGTTGTAGAGTGAAACATCAGGTGATTGCTCCCAACTTAACAAATTAACTGTGGTCATTAAGCAAGTCCCCACAACCATTACGTGTGACGACTGTGATTTTCAGCTATCAGCCAGCTTCCCCAATGATTTGTTAAAAACCAGCTGTGAAAGCCACAAATAGTGATCACATGACTGTTGCAAATGTACACCTGTTGCCAAGTGCCCAAATTGCACTCTAGTAACGGTGGGAATGCTGCAACAGCGCAAATATGAAGAACAAGTCATAAATCTCTTTTCGCAAGCTGTCATAATGTTGAGCAGTCACTGCAATGAGCTGGTAAGCTAGCTCTACCTGTACCATTATTATTGGCTGAGTGAAAATCCTTGCAAAATTTAGAGACTTAATAATGGAAAAACACAGGTGCCATTTTTGCTTTACAGAATGCAAAATGCACAGGAATGAAATGTTAAAAAAATAGGTAAAATCCTTTGGTGAGTACTAAGATTAAGATACTTAACATTTACATCTTGGGAATGCACAAAATAATAGTCTTTAGATATGAATTGGTCTACAATATGAATAAAAAACCTATTAGTTGAAGTGAATTTCTTTTCTGTGCTATCCTCTGTGTTAATAAAATTCATTCTAGTTTAAAAGAGCTTACAGATGGTGTTTCTCACAATTTCAGTTGTGATTATTTTTAACGCAGCAAACATTTTACTTTTTCACGCTTGTTTTAAAATTGTTTTATTTGGCCAAAGGCCCTCTGAAAATTATTGTATCAACTTGTCAATATAGAAACGTTTTTGTCATCTTTGGATATTTAGAAATAAATAGGTTAAAAATGTCCATAAAATATTCATAAAGTCTGCAAGCCATCCAACCAATTTTATACTTGTCAGATATTTTAGTTACTTAAGGTGAAAATTCATAAACCTTTATCCCAGGTCTTGGATTATAATAAAAAAATACCTATGAATCATTGAATAATGTATATTTTTAATGTAGTTAAACTTCTTACAAAGGTGTTCCTCAATAGTTTCAAGATATTCGATAAAAATATAAATGGAAGTTGTTTTATCAAAATGACAGAATGACACTATTATACAGTACAAGTTTATTTGGCAATGATGTAGAGTTGAGATATTGCAATGTTTTCAATTGATACAATCACCTTTGTTTATTTTGCTTTACATTTGAGTTTGCTAAACGTTGCTCCATTATTATTGTATCCATTAATGTTTTGGAAAAAAAAATGAAATCCCATGCATAATAACAAGGATCAGAATTGCCTATATATATAAAATTTGGACTGCCATTGGTATTTTTATAGCTTTTTATCTCACATCTACCTATGTGCATATGCACATATACACAATGTTTGTTAAATAGTTGTGCACTTAAAACAATATATTCTGAAGATTGCAATTGCTGTACCAATTTGAACAGAAATGGCACTTAAGTATGAAGCACTTTAAATATAGGGCTTGAGATAGAGGAACAGCACAATTTAGTTTAGGAGAAGTACAAAGTAATAATGGATAGAGGTTTCAAATCAATAAACTACTATAGTGAAATGGAAAAATAAAGTAAGTAGACAGTTTTCTGCATTTTTCCACACAGTGTCTTCCTTTAAGACTTAATATGTCCTCCTTTCTCCCGTTTTCATTAGCCTTTGGCATAGTGCATCAGCTGCTGTGACAGACTTATCCATGGCTTTCAATTGTCTGCCTCCAGTTGTGGGGAGAGAATTTTTTTTGTTCCCGTACAAATCAATTTTAATAGTTGGGGTTTTTTTAGTCATACTTTCTAAATAATGGTAGCAATTGGAGCAGATTTAAAGTAAAATGTGTTGGCAAATTCTCTTAGTAGGATAACATCTTAATTAGGACCAACTCAAATATTATAAACCAAACATAAATTTAAAAAGTTGCAATTCAAAATTTGCTCTTCAAATAGGTTGTGCAACAGAACCCAATCTAAATCTTTTTGTATGTTGAAAAATATGGGGCTGTGTCCATTTAAATTTTAGATGTGACTTTCATTTTGGATTGCAGGGAGAAGGGTTGGAGCCACGTTTAAATGCTTGAATCAATGCAGTATTTAGTACTTTAGTGTAAAACATAATTGACATGAGCCAATATTGCATTTGAATGCCCAGCAATAGCAGCCTTATGGAACTTTTAAAGCCAAGGACCTGTGTAATGTAAATCATGATTTTGTCTAGGGATTATTATTTAAGAAATTGTAAATTAATATTGAAAGCTTGTACAAAATGTGTATATCTTTAGTATTTCTCAATAAATACATGTGGAAATATTGTCATTTTCTGCACAATCATAGTACTCCTGTATCCTTGATGTTCTTTTTTGAAATGTTGTGTTTTGCAATGCATTGTAAAAACAAAAAGTTACAAAAAGTAGTACCTCAAATATAGTCATTCCCTAAATGAAAAGCCTTGTTGAGCAGCTGTTCAAGCCAGAAATAATATCCTAGTCCTGTCCTTTTTCTGATTTGAACAATTAACCCTTGGAAAAGGATTTTGTGCATCCCATTCTCCACTTTTAGAATATATATTCAAGACTTAATTTCATGTGTTTTCTATCAAAATAAGATCCTTGGGTAGAAGACTATTTTGCACAATCGATTGCTCTAAGATTTTCTCTTCATATTAAAAATTTGCAGTCGATTTTCCTTTCTCCTATACACTTAAGACATTTGTTTTCTGAGCATTCAGGATCTATCAGCACATTTACTATCAATATGTTTTATTGAAAAGCATAGGCTTCTGTATGCTGACTGGGGCTTACAGCCCAAGGGAGGAGTAGGATTTGGGCTTGAGGGAGGTCAAAATAATGGCAATAAGATTAGAGCAGGGGTGTCAAACTCAAGGCCAGGTGTAGTGAGATCTGGCCT